GACTAGTTTTATTAGTGAAATAAATTAAATGATTGATTTTGAATAATTTTAAAATGTTAAAATGTTTTAAACAATTTTAAAATATTAATTAAAATTATTTCAATAATCTTAATTATTCCAAATAACTGCAATTTGTTTCACTGATAAAACCAGGCTGTGTGTTATTTCTGCATACAACTGTCAATCTTCAATCATTAGGAAGGTACAATAATTCACTCAGAAGCAGCTGAAATTCCACACACTAGCTTTGAGCATATAAAAAATACAAATCCCAAATACACTAAAACTAAAAAAAACTAAACCTCAGGAACTCAAATAGTATCGTTTTCAAAACCCTCAAGATTAAATAATGATAGTTACTAATTAAAAAATATACTTTTAAATATTTAGTTAACAGATGATGAAATTATATATCTGAATGAAACTCAATTTTTATTTTTTTAAACTATTTAGCAAAACCTAGAGAATGTTACGAACAAGAATCGTTTCACTTAGGCATACATTCCCATGTACTGAATAGAAGCCGTAAATACAAATCTCCCTCGAGTGCATTTTGGCCACTCTCATTCTCCAAGCCCGTTGCTTTTGTGTGCTGGAATTTCTCAAGTGTTCTCGCTGTCTCGATGGGGCATGCCCCCTGGTGGAAATGTCTGTAAACCCGGGTACAGGATCTCCCCTTCCTAAGCCAGGACGGAGCTGAATACCTACCCCCCCAACGTACCTCAGTACAACCACAAATAAAACCACTGATTTTAAAGGCAGAAATCCATTAAAAACAAGTTTAGAAAAGAGAAAAATGTCAGACGAGGGATGTCAAACGAAATTCGGGAAATTAGACAAGTGGTATTTTCAGCCCAGAAAAGGAGGGGCGCCTAACAAGCAGGAAAAACAGCAGGTCAGTCTGGAGAACAAGACCAGGAAAAAAGGTTACTCACGTGGAAACATCGGAGGGAGGGGTCAACTCAAAAGACCTGGAGGAAAGTTTGAAAGGAAGGCTGGAGTTCCAAGCCCCCAACCTCACACCACACCACAGGGGCTTAGCCCCTTTCTTGCTGAGAAATACAAGATCTACAACCAAAGTGCAGGAATTGTAGGGGAGATGGATGGAAAGCATGTGAACCATCAGGAAATTTGAAAAGGGAAGAGAGCAGGAAATGGCTCCGTGAGCACAAGAGAGTCTTTCTAGTCTGTGTGAGTCTCTCAGCTTGGTTCCCAGAACACCATTATCTAGCTACTCAGGAGGCTGAGATCTGAGGATTATGATTTGAAACTAGCCCCAGCAGGAAAGTCTATGAGATTCTATCTCCAATGAATCACCAGAAAAGGAGAAGTGGCGCTGTTGCTCAAAGCAGTAGAATGCTAGCCTTGAGCAAAAAGAGTTCTGGGATAGCATCTAGGCCCCAAGTTTAAACCCCACAACTGTCAAAAAAAAAAAAAAAAAAACGAATGAGGAGGAGAAGGAAGGAAGGGAGACGAAACAAAGAAAGAAAAATGAAAGAAAGGAAGGAAGAAAGAGAGAGAGAGAGAGAGAGAGGAGGGAAGGAGGGAAAGAGGAAGGATAAGATCTGAGAATCACTGTTTGCATCCAGCCCAGGCAGGAAAAGTCCCTAAGACTTTTTGCCAGTCCTGGGGCTTTAACTCTGAGCCTGGACATTGTCCCTGGGCTCCCTTTTTGCTCAAGGTTAGCACTCAGTACCACTTTAACTGGAGATAAAAGTCAAAGTCTGAGACTCCCAACTCCAATTAAACACCAAAAAGCCAGAAGTGGAGCTGTGGCTCAAATAGTAAAGCACTAGCCTTGAGCAACAAAGCTCAGGGACAGTACCTAGTCCTGAGTTCAAGCCTCAGGACTGGCACTGAATGAATGAATGGAGTGGATAGATGAATGAATAGCAAGATCACAAACCATTAACTGTACACTTTAAAGAACTCAAATGAAGATAAACTAAGCTCAAAGCTAGTAAAAGGAAAAATAAAGCTTAGAGCCACATAAGCAAAACCTTCAACAACAACAAAAGAAGTCAATGAACCCAAATGCTGTCTAAAGAAAAAGATAAAAATAGAAAAGATTCAAATTCCAAAATCAAAAACTAGCTGGGACAGTACAACTTATTTCACAGAAATAAATAGGATTATAATGAGGCACTATGAAAAGCTGAGCACCGAGAAATTGTGACAACCTAGATTAAATAGTCAAATGCCCAGAATAATGGAAATTATCAAAACTGATTCAAGAAGAAAGGGAAATTCCAAAGAGACTTAATACAACTAAGGAGAATGAATCAGTAATGACAACCAGTAAGAAAAAGTCACAGATCAACTGGCCCAACATCCAAAGAATTAACAACAGGGACAGAGACAGAGCCATGGTGCAGGCAGTAGAGCACATATCTAGAAAGCGGCAGACCTGGAGTTCAATCCCAGTACTACCCAAAAAAAAAAAAAGTTTTGCCAGGTACCAGTAGCTTGAAATACTAGCTCACTAGGTTGAGATCTGGAAGCCAGCCCAGGGCAGTAAATTCTGTGAGACATTTACACAATGAACCACCAAAAAGCTGAAGTGGAGCTGTGACACAAGTAGTAGAGCACCAGCTTGGACCAAAATAGCTCAGGGTCAACGCCCAGGCCCCTACATCAGCACAAAAACAGAACAAAACAACTAATAATGTACCATAGTAGTACCAACTAGGAATAAAATTGTTGCAGTTTTGGAAAGGTTAAAAAGTATGAGAACTCTCATGATCCAGCCAGCAGAGATTTATGTGAAAGTCATCCAGCAGTTGGGAAACAGTTTGGTAGTTCCTTCAAAACTGAACTTCTGTGGTTCTGGGAAGGTGGCTCAGTGGTAGAGTGCTTGCTTTGCATGTATGAGGCCCTGGGTTTGATTCCTCAGCACCACATAAGCAGAAAAACCGGAAGTGCTGCTATGGCTCAAGTGGTAAGCACTAGCCTTGAGCTGAAAAGCTAAGGGATAGCACCCAGACCTAGAGTTCAGGCCCCACAACCAACCAAAAACAAAACACTGAACTTCTATTTTCCATATGGCACCGTGGTCCCAAAGTGGGAATTGACATACAGCAGTCAAAATTACGTTCACACAGAAATCTGTGCATTATGTCAAAGCAGCTCCATTTATAACTGCTGAGCAATACAAGCAACCCAACGTCCTTCAGCTGTGAGCAGACAATGTGTACACAACACATCACGGAACATAATTGACAGATGTGTGCACACAAACCACAGAACACAATCGACAGACATGTGCGCACATGCAATGGAACAGCCATGTGCACACACCACAAAATACAATCAACAACGGGGCTGGGAAAGTGGCTCAGTGGTAGAGCGCTTGCCTTGCATGCATGAGGCCCTGGGTTCAATTCCTCAGCACCACATAAGCAAAAATAAAAAAGCCGGAAGTGGTGCTGTGGCTCAAGTGGTAGAGCGCTAGCCTTGAACTGAAGAGCTGAGGGACAGCGCCCAGGCCCAGAGTTCAGGCCCCACGACCAGACCCAAAAAAAGAAAAGAAAAAAAAAACCCACAATCAACAAACGTGTGCACACATGCTACAGAACATAACCAAGAGACATGTACACACATATACACACCATGGAACAAAACTGACAGATGTGCACACACACAATGGAATACAATCGACAGACGTGCACACACACCATGGAACACAACAAGCCACTTGCACACATACCATGGAACACAATCAATAGACAATGTGTGCATAATTGCAATGCAACACTATTAACAAAGAATGAACCTCCATGCTCACAACAGTCCAGACAAGGCAGTATAGTGAGCATCTACGACACCACTTTCCAACATTTATGATACCATTTACATGAACATTCTAGAAAAAACAAGACCAACTGTGCAGGAGGCCAACAATGAGAGGGATCAAGTCCGTACTTTCAAGCCATAGAAGCAGGTGAAGGATTGAACCCCCAGCAAGACCAATGTGAGGGATCTGTCCCAACTGAAATGTATACTCCACCTTACAGCCCAATTGGGCCAATGTCTGGGTCTTAACTCACAGAATAGTATGGCCAAATAAAGCTCATGTCACTGTATAATTTAAATTTAAAACAAACAAAAAAAAACTTGTGAGATGAGCACTGGTAGCTCACACCTGTAATCATAGCTACTCTGGAAGCTGAGATCTAAGGACAGAAGTTTGAAGCCAGCCCAGACAGGAAAATCCTTGAGATTCTTATCTTCAATTAACTACCCTAAAACCAGAAGTAGAACTGTGGCTCAAAGTGGTAGTGTGCTAGCCTTGACTGAAAAAGTTCAGTAATAGTGCCTAGGCACTAAGTTCAAGCCCCAGGACACGGACACAGACACGGACACGGACACACATGGACACACACGGACACGGACACACACACGGACACGGACACAGGGACACACACACACACACACACACACACTTGTGAAAAGATAATTATATCCCATTAAATAACAAAAACATAAGCTATTAACAAAAAGGGTGGGACACTGAACCTGCCTCTGGCCCCAGGGAAAGGCTTCCTCCCTCCTCTTCAGCATCCTTCGTAACAAAGGTTCCAGTGGAATCCATTCAGTGCCCCTACAAATCTGATAGCAAAGACCTCCTTCCTGCCAGGTGCTAGTGACTTCATCCATTGGGTGCCTGTACTAATCTAATAGCAAAGACCTCCTTCCTGCCAGGTGCTAGTGACTTCATTCATACCTGTAATCCTCACTTCTCAAGATAGAGTGGTTTTGAAGCCAGGTGGAGCAGACAGACCTGTGAGACTCATCTCCAATTAACCAGCAAAAAGAAAGGGAGCTATGGATCAAGTAGTAGAGCACCATCCTTGAGTGGAAAAAGCTAAGGGACACTGCTTAGGGGCCTGAGACCAAACCCCTCGGGCTGGCACCAAAAAAGAAAATTAAAATTTTGAGAAGTAAATTCATTTGATTTCATACTTCAGACTTCCAAAGTCATGGCCACCAGTGCATGAGGAAGTACTCTGTTAAGGGAAATATAGCTTTAAATTATGGGGCCATAACAACCAAGGCTCTGAGCACACAATGGGGTCTTGGAATGCATGCAGCCACAGATAAGAGGGAACTAATGTAACTTCCTTAATAGACATTCAATGTAACAAAATACACCAAAACATTTCCGTCAGTTACTATAAATTATTGTAGATGTGAGTAAATCATTCTAGAATTCATTTATCATAGGAGGTCCTCAGGCATATACATGTCATCTAAAAATTATTTTAGATAAACATTGGTCCTAAAAGTCATCATGTTTGGTTACTTCCCAAAAACATCTTTTAACTACTGGGAAGGGATGCACCATACTGCTTTCTCTGCCAGAACTCTGTTTTATTGTATTAAATATCTTATTGTTAAAAAAAATTTTTTTTGTGTGTGTGTGCTGGTACTGAGGCTTGAATTCAGGTCCTGGGCACTGTCCCCTGGGTTTTTTTGCTTGAGATTGGCATTCTACCACTTGAACCACAGCTTCGCTTCCAGCTTTTCACTGGTTCAATGAAGAGTCTCATGAACTTTCCTGCCAAGCTGGCTTCAAACTGTGGATCCTCAGATCTCAGACTCCTTAGGATAACAAATTGCAGAAGACACTATACCAGTACCCACCCAAATGTACTGATTTTTTATACTTCTTAATTTCTCCAAAATGTGACCAGGGGGCAGTGATTCCAAGCCAGACCTACCATTCTCCAGCTCATTTCTCCTTGATGGTTCTTCTCAAACTTTCTACAAGTCACACAGAGCCAAGCCTCACAGGACAGAGGTCACAGAGGTAGTTTTGGTAGCTAACAGTCCACCCACCGTGCAATTCGTGGGCCAATGCATCACACAACAAGGAACCCCATTTACAGGAGGTACTTACGTTCTTTCCGGTGCTCTGCTAATCCAACGGCCTGCTTGGCTGAGCACTTTGCAAACCAGTTGTCCCCTAGTAAAACAGTGACTTCATTGGTGTGCACAAGTTTTCCTGGCATGAAGGCAAAGGGGCCAAAGGGTACCTATTGTTTTAAACACACATACACACACACACACATACAAAAGACAAAATGTTTTAAACACTAAGAAGAAATAGATTTTGAAACCATATTCAAGGACCCTACACCACTATGGAAGTCTTTCTCATCTATACTCTGGGGGAAAAAACATCATAGATTTAGAGAAATTGAACATTATGTTGAAATTTGACCAGCAAAGTCTAGAGAAAATTGCTTCCAATGAATAAATCAATATTTAAAAACAAAAATAAAAAACAGGCTGGATTGCTGAGGGCTCACACCGGTAATCCCACCTACTCAGAAGGCTGATTTCTGAGGATCATGGTTCGAAGCCAGCCCAGGCAGGAAAATCTGTGAGATTTTTATCTCTTTTAGCCTTAAGTGAATAAAGCTCAGAGACAGCACCCATGACCAACACCAAAAAATAAATAAACAGGAAAACAAATTTGTGCCATATTTACATGTGTATCTTAGAGAAAGTATTTGAGGAATATTTTTTACATTTATTTATATTAATGACATTTTGGTATTTTGTATGTTGGAATATTAATTCTTAAATATAGATGAAAGCAAAACAATGGAGAACAGTTTGGGTCAAGAACACTGAAAAACATTTCTAAATAGCCATGTTTCGTAAAGCATCAGTGAGCGTGGCCTGTGACACTGAGATCATGTGGGTAGACATAACCAGAAGCAGTGTCCCTGAGGAAGGTTCTCCAACGCAGACTCAGCCAGGACCTGGGAACTATGTCAGATGAACACCATTAAGAAAGAAATTAGTAGCACCTTCTAACATAAAAATCAATGTTCTACGATGGAATTCTGTGACAAAACATTATGGTCTATTCCAGCTCTGGCGAACAGGAAATGGCGAAGAACCACATTCTCGTTGTAATTAGTGTTTTATGTAGTTAAGTTTGCCCAGAAAATATGTCAAATCATAAGCTAACATATATGTCACTATAGTGGAAAATTCCATTCTTATGGGGGAAAAAAAGAAAAGTTAAGTATCAAGGACTGCCTTGATTGTGCTATCAGAAGATGCACGGCAAACAACGCACCCTAGAAGGTCGCCTCTGATGCCATCGGTCAGCTGAGCAATCTGTGAACTGATACACATACCGCAAAAACATCCCACAATTGTTCTGCTGGGAGCCATGGCTCACACGTGTCATCTCAACTACTCAGGAGGTTGAGATCTGAGGATGACAGTTGGAAACCAGCCCAGGGAGGAAAGTCCATGATACTCTTCTCTTCAATGAACCAGCAATCAGACTATGGCTCAAGTGGTACAGTTTTAGCTTTGAGTAAAAAGCTAAAGGCCAGCACCTGGGCCCTGAGTTCAAGCCCCAATACCTCTACAATAATCAGAAAGTACCCTAAACATACCATGATGTTGTAGGACAACTTATCCGGCAAGGTGCTGAGTCTCTCCTGAAGGGCACTGTAATCATCATCCACCTTCTTCCTGTGGACCCAAAACACCACACACTGAGAGAGCTCACCAACGGTCCTCCCAGCAGGCTGCCTTAACACAAACTCATCTGAAACCTAATTTTAGTCATTTACAGATTCCATTTTGGTTTTTGTTTGTTTTTTTAATTTTGAAATTCTATTTTCACAAAGTTTGGCAATGGCATTATTTTCCCATATATTTATTAAGAATTAAGACTTGCTAGAAGTTGGGTACTCACATGTCTGATACTTAAGTGTTTGCTAAGCTAGAGGATTATCGGGACTAAGTCAAATGGAGAAATGAAGGGCAAGAAAAGGAGACATGGAACTTCTAGAACATTCTAGAACAGTGCCTACACCCTGGCTGTGAGGTAGGAACCTTGAACACATAAAATAGGAGCCAGTGCTTCCGTTCCTCATCAGGAAACTTGAGGCTGAGAAATGATGTGTTATCAATTCTTCAATTATCCTTACTAATGTCATTAAGAGGAGATTTTAAAAAAATCTAGCAGAGGGTAGGAGAAATTAGGCAAAGACAATATAAAAACAGCACTTCAATCTGGCTGTGTGGCATCAAAACGGAGTTAACACTGATTTCCCCCATGTACAGCATGTGATTCTGTGGGTGCAAATGTAAGCAGTAGGCAAAACTAGAGGCCCAAATCTGATTGTAAGCAGAAGAGAACCCATTACCAATTAAAACTCTCTCTCTCTAACTCTCTCTCTCCCCAAATCACCAAGTAATTTACGTGAACATGTGGATAGTGTGGAATTGAAATAAGGATTAAGCTACAACACAAATAATCTCTTCTGACACAATGAAATGCCTATGTTCTAAGCACATGGACTACTTTCAATTTACTACTTTGTGCCTCTACAGCAACTGCAGCCTACTTACAATAATCACACTCTTAACATATGAAGGAACTTCACAGATATATTTCTATTATTTATCCTTGAAAGACTGGTGGTGCATAAGTGTCACTGACAAGTCTTGTCTTTCAGAAGAGGAGGTAGCAGGAGAGGAAATCAGATTTCCTGGATTAGGTAAAGCAGGCAGTGCATTTAACCTAGATCTTCTGACCTTGTTCTTTTAAGGAAATTTGCATGTTCCACTGTACACACAGATTTATATAATAAGCTTCCTCCCAAAAATCAGAAGGAGGAGGAGGAAGAGGAGAAGGAGGAGGAAAAGGAGGAGGAGGAGGAGAAGGAACAACAGCAGAAGCAGCAGCAGCAGCAGGGCACCAGTGGCTCACACCTGTAATCCTATCTACTCAGGAGGCTGAGATCTCAGGATCGCAGTCGAAGCCAGCCTGGGCAGGAACACCTGTGAGACTCTTATCTCCAATGAACCAACAGAAAACCGGAAGTGGTGCTGTGGCTCAAGTGGTAGAGTGCTCACTTTGAGCTGAAGAGCTCAGGGACAGTGCTCAGGCCCAGAGTTCAAGCCCCACAATCAACCAAAAACAAAACAAAACAAAAGAGCATGTCTACAAATACAATAGAGTAAAATGTCATTTCTTCTATTTTATTTAAGGGGAGTTTTAAAAAAAAAAGTAATCTTTCTGGATAAATTGTTGCACAGGTAAAATAGCCAAAAAGCTTTATGCACAAGGGTATGTACCAAAAAGCATACAGCTGCAAAGTCAGATGTAACAGACAGTCCCAACTGTACTATTTTACCCATACAGGTCCTTCCACAGTGTAAGACTTCCAGGGGACAATGTGTAACTAAGCACCTTACAGGTCCAAGAGAAGTGAAAAGGACTGAGCACCCTGCTCAGCATTAAGCACCAACTTTTCCTAGGAAAGTCCCAGAAACACCAATTGTATAACTTCCAGGGAAGATCTGTTACCCACTGAGATTAAGTCACTCCATGGGACTGTATGACTTACTAAACGAACCTGAAGCTAAGTAAACATTGGGTTTCAGAGAGGTTGGCGTGAGTGATCAACTGGAGAATGTCCACAAAGGGCTGATTTGGGCCAATGCCTCCATAGGACAAAATAGATAGCAATTCTGTAGAAAATTGATACTTTTTTTTAATTTGAATGAGAAATCACTATGGCACCACCCAACAGTCCTTGTCTGTTCAGAGAAACAACTGGTCGACCCACATCCATACTGGACAACTAGTCCACCACAGGATGGTTTATATGCTCCAGACATGATTTTCTGCATGTGCTCAAGGACTACAAGCTGCCTCTGAGTCTCTATGATTAAGTAGCAGTAAACATTTGACATGCTTGTACAAGTAATTTTACACTGGAAAGGGAGACTTGGTAGGGGAAAAAAAAACCTCTTTGTACATTAGAAGAACAGAAATTTCAAACAGAGGTAATACCAGGATCGGTGTCAATATTTTAAATCAGTTTTAAGCTTATCATTAATAAGTCTCTCTAGAACAACATACAAAAAAAAAAGTAGATGCCACTTGAGAACAGTTTACAGTGGGAGTTGCTATTTCTAAGTTCTGAACTGTTGACTAAAAATAGGAAAGAAAATAAAAATAATGGGCAAGGTAATTTAAATGCAGCCCAGGCAGAAATGGGTTTTGAAAGGAGGCAGCAGAAGGCTGACAGTGCTCTGGAGAGAATCAGGCCTGAGGGACTCCCTTCTCTCGGGGCTCCTGTCAGAATGGCACAGCCAGGACCAAGCACTGATCAAAACGTGACCTCCTAGAAGTCCTCTGAGACCAAAGGGCTGCAACAACCCCACCAAAGATCACAATGACTATGTGTTTAGAATTGAGTGGTAAGTGTTGGAAAAGTTTATGTGTGCTAAACAGTTGTTTTTGGAGTACCAGTCATGGGGCTTGAACTCAGGGCCTGTGTGCTGTCACTGAGCTTCTTTGCTCAAGGTAGCGCTCTACCACTTGAGCCACAGCTCCACTTACAGCTTTATCTAGTGGTTCACTGGAGATAAGTCTCCAGGACTCTCCTGCTTCTAAAGTGGCTCTGAACTGAGTTTTAGATCTCAGCCTCCTTAGCAGTTAGGATTACAAGTGTGATACGCCGGTGCCCAGTCTTGTGTTGAAATTTGAACTCATTTTTGTTCTTCTATTTTGTTATTTGAGAATATAACTGATCTTTGGACAATGCTGTCATATTGAAACACACAAGTCCAAAGAGATATTTACAATAGTGTTTTTTCAAATGTAAAGCAAACCCAGATGCAATTAGAAAAGGCATTTTGAGCCTACTTACTTAGATATGTAGGCCTGCTTGTTTAGTTTCACATTAGGTAGGGGGAGGAAGGGAATAAGGGTGTTGGTACTGGGCTTGAACTCCAAGCCCGGATGGTAGCCCTGACTTTTTCACTCAAGACTAGTGCTCTACCACTATAGCCACACTTCTAATTCTGGCTTTTTGCTAGTTAATTGGAGATAAAAGTCTGAAGGACTTTCCTGCCTAGGCTGGTTCTAAACCCAAATCCAAGACCTCAGCTTCCTGAGTAGCTACGATTACAGATGTGAGCCACTGCTCACAACTTCGGTTTCACCATACTTGATCCTTCTAAATTAACTCACCTGTTAACTACTAAGCTTGAAAAGTGCATCCAAATAAGATGTGATTCATATTCAATATCTCACATAACTTGCAGTGAAAGGAATGTTAAGGAACTTTTGCAGCCCCCACTTGGACCTAGCTGAACTGATCTACAAGCCACTGTGATGAAGGTACACAGTAGCTATGCAACTAGGAGAGTAGCCTCTCTCTGAGGGAAAGGCTAAGCTCAGACAGAGCCCATGGGAAATACAGTTAGAGAAATGTAGAGAAGAGAGTAAGTTCAATGAGGTATGTGCACGAGTATTAAAGGCAGAATAGACTGATGTATATCACTTACTTTGAACCTCAAGGATTAATGGATTACAGTATGGATAATACATAATCAAGGTTCATCCATACAATTCTTTCAACTTTACTGTATGTTTGAAGATTTTTGTAGTATATATAAAAGGGTTAAGAGTTGGAAAAGACTCATTTGTACTCTTTCTCATAAAAATCCTTGTTAAAAAAAAAAAGTTTTATACCCCTGTTGTAGAAGCAAAGGACATAACCTCCATCTTAATATTTTTAAAAGATGAAATAAAATTTCTGGTTATAACAAGATATGAGTTAATTTCACTTCTAAAAAAAAGAACTTAATAGAATACTAACTTTTTTCTTCCTCAGCAAAAGTTTCCTCTGGCTCTCTTCCCCTTTGGCATGATTAAAAAAAAAAATGAGGTGTTTAAAAGAGAAAAGGGGCCATGTGTTCATGTCTGTGCTAATCAGAAGCAGTTTATTTTTTCTTTTCAATGAAACCCAGAATCTGAAGTACATGTGCGTCAATATATGACCTTCACACGTTATTTTTGGAACATCTAGAACTTCTTATGAAGCATCCAAGACAACCCTGTCTCAACTCAGTTCGTCAACTATTTATTGCTCACCTCCTCTGCAACTGAGCCTTATGCCATATGCTGCAGGGGTCATCCACAAATGCAGCCCTTTTAAACTGTGCAGCCCATCCTTATTAAACACCCACTGGCCTGAGGACCACTCTGAGATGAAGGAAATGGAGGAATATAAAGTTCAGGAAAGATACAGATAATGATCTTTTCATTTTTAAAGCAAGGAGTGATAAATTACACACACACACACACACACACACACACACATTTATTTATTTACTTGCTTATATTTAACTGGGTTTTTGTTTGCTTGGTTGGTTTTGTTTTCTGAGTGATACCAATGGAGCCATGACTCTGGCCTTCTATGGTTTAGTTATTTTTCAGGTAGGGCCTTGTATTTTTTGCCCAGGGCTGGCATTGGCCTTGGGCAATCCTCCTATTACTATAAAGGATTACAAGCACAAACCATTATGACCAAGTTAATTGAACTAAGATGTGTCTTGCTACATTTTTGCCTTGGCTGGCCATGAACTATGACACCAATGATCTCAGCCTCCAGGGAACAAAAGCAAATGCCATTTTTACTTTTAGCCAAAAACTACAAAATATCCTT